TTATATTTCTACCATGGTAGTTCCATAAAATAAATATTATTATTTTATTTTTTCTTCGTAAAAACCTAAGGAACCATCGGAGATTATCTTATATTGACTTTCACATAACAACAATCAGTAAAATTTGGAAGAAGAATATTTATGACTTCTTTAAGGGTTTCATCGATTTTTTTTGAGGTAAATGTGTCGGATCAAGCTAAGAAAGGATCACACATATGAGACCAACCATAGAGACAACACTCAACCACTTGTCGGAGTCGGAGGGTAAAAAAAATTAGATTTTAGCCCAATTTCTTATCGGTGCGATCTTTCTGTTGGCCTGATGGTCACATCAATTACCCATGATATGGTCACCCCGGAAAAGTAAGCAATAAAGTAACGTGACCCTATTGCAGAACATACGTAAAAATGTTGGAACCATCAACGATTGAATTCGATTTCTAAACTATGATTAAACGCGGATAGATTAATTAATTTTTGGTAGGTCGAAAATTCAAATCCCGACTTTTACTTTATTATTTTATGAAATTCTTTCCATAAAAATAATATATTCTATAGTTTCTTAGTAAAAAAGCATAGCCAAAATTTGAAGTTAAGTAAAACCACGACGAACAGAGTCCACGAACCCACAAGTCAATGGCCGCCCTCTCATTTCATCTCCGCCACCAATCTTCACTGCATTCATATGAAATTCAATGCTCTTATACAACTCCGCGGAAGAACACCCTTTCCATTTATCAAATTACAGACAAAATCCAATGCAAAAATGGTAAATCTCTCTCTACTTCTGTTTCTATTTGTTTTTCTCTTCTCTCCGCCGTCTCTGGCGGTTGATATCTTAACCCCATCTCAAAACCTCACCAACGCCGCCACTTTCGTCTCGGAAAAAGGGTTTTCCGAGCAAACCCCAAGAAATTTCACGAACCCTTTTTTCGGAATCTGGCACAACAACCTCATCACGATTCGCCGAATCGATTACCCAACGGACCCATTACTCCGCCGAAACGGAATCCACCGTCGATTATCCGCCGGAAAAACCCCCGACGACCTAGAACCGGCGATGTGGAAAGGCTCGAAGGAGCTCATGAGAAGCGAGGCTTTGCACCAGTCGGTACCAGGGGATTACTGCGACACGTACGGTCTCTGCGGCGCATTTGGGAGCTGCGACATCGAGCAAATGCCGGCGTGTCAATGCTTAAAAGGGTTTCATCCCAAAGTGCAGGAGAAGTGGAATTTGATGGATTACACAGATGGGTGTGTTAGAAATCGGTCATTGAATTGCTCTACTGATATAATCGGGTTCGCAAAGTTGCCTGGGCTCAAACTTCCAGACATGAACATGTCGTGGGTGAATGAGAGCATGAGCTTGAGTGAGTGCAGGGACAAGTGTTCGAGGAACTGTTCTTGTGTAGCGTTTGCAAACGCTGTGGCTCGTGGCTCAGGGAGTGGCTGTGCCATTTGGGTTGGGGATCTTGTTGATATCAAAGTGGTTCGAGGTGGAGGCCAGGATTTGTATATTAGAATGTTGGCTTCTGAACTGGGTATGTATATGAATTTGTTCTGTTTCTCTGGCTGTTCTGTTTCTTATTGTGTTTGAATGTGTAGAGACGACGAAGAAGAAGAGCTCGGTTGTCGTCGGCGTTATCGTCGTCGCAGCCGTTGTCGTGGTTGCTGGTTTGGTTCTTGTTGGGTTTTACATTAGGAGGAGGAGGAGGAGAAGAAGCCATGAAAGTAAGGATGTAGAAGCGCAAGAACAAGACTTGGAGCTTCCATTACTTGACTTACTGACAATATCTACTGCCACAGACAATTTCTCAGCCTCCAATAAACTTGGAGAAGGTGGTTTCGGCGCGGTTTTTCGGGTAAATTTCGCCGGTTATAAAGAAAATATATCGAAAACGATGATCGTTGTTGAAACAAGTTAGTCTATAAACTTTCAGGGTAGACTTGCAACTGGACAAGAAATTGCAGTAAAGAGGCTTGCTAGCTATTCGAGACAAGGAACGGATGAATTCAAAAACGAAGTGATACTCATTGCTAAACTTCAACATCGAAATCTCGTGAAGCTTTTGGGTTGTTGTATCCAAGGGGAGGAAAAGATGTTGATTTACGAGTACATGCCTAATAAGAGTTTGGACTTCTTCATATTTGGTTCGTATCGATCTTTATTCTTGGTAATCGTTAGTTTTTATTTTTGACTAACTGTAGCTCGTTATATTGGTTAGACCCGGCTCGAAGAAAGCTTTTAGATTGGTCTAAAAGATTCAATATCATATGCGGAGTAGCTAGAGGGCTTCTTTATCTTCATCAGGATTCGAGGTTGAGGATTATACATAGGGATTTAAAAGCAAGTAATGTCTTGCTTGATGTTGATATGAACCCAAAAATCTCGGATTTTGGAATGGCTAAGACGTTTGGAGGGGATCAAACCAAAGGAAATACGAGGAGAGTTGTTGGAACGTAGTAAGCTTCAATTCTATTGAACTTCAAACTTGTGTAAATCTATTAGTTTCACTGTAACCTCCCGAACCCACCGCCTTGGCCCGTTACGTACCTCCGTCAGCCTCACAGTTTTAAAATGCGTCTTCTAAGGAGAGGTTTTCACACACTTATAGGAACGTTTCGTTCCCCTCTCCAACGAATGTGGGATCTTACAATCCACCCCCTTGGGGCCAGCGTTCTCGCTAGCACTCCCAAACCCACAACTAGTAGATATTGTCCGTTTTGGCTCGTTACGTATCACCGTCAGGCTCACAATTTTAAAACGCGTCTACTAGGAAGAGGTTTCTGCACACTTATAAAGAATGTTTCGTTTCCCTCTCCAACCAATGGGAGATCTCACATTTACATTCTCGACTAACATTTTTTTTTTTAATGTTATCTTGTAGTGGGTATATGGCACCCGAATACGCCATTGATGGACAATTCTCCGTTAAGTCCGACGTTTTCAGTTTTGGTATTTTGTTGTTGGAGATCATATGTGGAGAGAAGAACCGAGGTTTTTATCGTCCCAATCATGCTCTCAACCTTATTGGACATGTAAGTTACGGACTCCACTCAATCATTACATAACTTGCAATCTTGAGCTGAACAGTGACTGACACTTTCATTTTTAGGCATGGAAGTTATGGAACGAAGGAAAGCCGTTAGAGTTGATTGATGCGACTATTGGAGACTCTTATTCTTTATCTGAAGTGGTTCGATGCATCCATGTTAGCCTTTTGTGCTTACAACAACAACCCGAGGATAGACCAACTATGTCGAATGTGGTCCTAATGCTAAGTAGTGAGAGCGTCTTAGCACAACCAAAACAGCCGGGATTCTACATGGAAAGAGATTCTCTTAAAGCAGATTCTATTTCGGGCAAGAATGAATCTTCAACTACCAATGAATTAACGATTTCCCTAATGGAAGCTAGATAGCGGTGGTCTGTACGTTTCACATATTGTAACTAACTTTTTCAATGCTGATTCTTCTAAATTGTTCTATCTGTTTGCACATTCATGCAAAATGATGTAACCATGTTCTAACTCAAATGAATATTAATTGATATTTGATATACTAGCGATAGACTCAAAATAACACCAAATGACACTAAATGATATACACGTATGCTAAGCACGAGTTCCAAGTCGCCAAAACCAACCTTTGCTCGACAAACCACCCATGGCCCCTGTCATTAACAATGAAATTGATTCGAGTGTCGCTACATTGGCTTCAAAAGTCAGACTTAATCAATTCTTAACATGGACCACCAATCAAGTCAAGTAAAATTTATTAATTCTTTATTTCATTTCTATTATTTTTTATACATTGTTATTATTTTTCGAATGTGTAATATTTCTTTACACACGCCTACGTATGTGCACATGGACCCACCAATCAGACATATACGTACCCATGAACCTGGCCTTCAATTAGCACAAGCTCATGCTGCAGAAGCTACAGAGGAAAAGGAGCTGAGTGTCACGGTCATGCTTGTCCAGGGCATGTTGCCCATGGCCGCATGCCCATGACAAGCCAAACCCTTGTCATGTCTTTTCATTCAAGTGTTTTTCCTTTTGTAATTCTAGAGCGTATGACACCTCAAAAATATCATGTCTAGGCCTGCCAGAACTAAAATGACCCAGAATGTACTATAGGGGGATATGACAAGTCGTCAACTTCTCCCTACCCAAGGTTATATATGCTAAGCCGTTGTTATCTTTCTCTTGCTTACTTATATAACGTCTCTTTCTAAAATCTCTCTCTCTCCTCGTTTTCTAAAACCTTCTTTTAAAACCGAGGCTAGAGGCTTGACCGTACGTCGCTTGGCCGTAGGCGACGCAAGAACAAATTGGCTTAACTCACTTGTCGCTGGAAAGTGAGTGCCGCACAATCGCTAGTCCGCTGCCTTCGAAAGCGCAATTGTGTCACTGAACTCGCATAATATCATGACATACATTAATATCATAATGTATGCGCATCCGTACTCATCATAACAAAAAAGTATCCCAATCCACGTGACATACAAAAATGCATGAGATCCCCATAACTTTAAAAGCATGTCATAAACATAATATGCAAATCGTATATTCATCCTTTCATAAATACATACTTAAATATAACAACATTTCATAATCTTGTAATAATCATGCTAACATAGTGTGCATGACATATCATAGTATGACTTCACATAATACAATACATGTCATCTTAATCACAAAATAGGGTACATAGAAGAGCCATAGAGCATGGGTCGTTCATACTTCATTTCATTCCTACAATCAATGTGAATTAGTAGAGCCACATACTATGATTTGGTGCAGTACAAAAGTTGAAATGGTCAACCATTCTTGTGGGTATAGCTGGGTCCTCCCAAGTCCCATCAATAGCGTTGAAATTGATTGTTACAAAGAAGTCAAATATTGGGTCAATTTTTCACATGGGCCTTACCTCTAGGCGGATGGCCAATCAAGTTTATGTGTTTCTTCATTGGGTTGATTGGAATTCAAGTCTTGCAGGCTCTCGTCGCACACTGTGCGGTGCCCTTTAACTGAAATTGTAGCAAAGCCGAACGAAACCCAATGCAGAATGGGTAATCTTCCTCTGCTATCTTTTGTTATGACCCTGTTCTTATATTCATCTTTCAATATCTCATCGGCTGTTGATTTCTTAACCCCTTCTCAAACCCTCAGCGATGGCAACACCCTGGTCTCGGAAAATGGGTATTTCGAGATGGGTTTCTTCAGTCCTGGAAATCCCATGAATCGTTACTTGGGAATTTGGTACAAAATCATCCCGATTCCCACTGTGATTTGGGTCGCCAATCGAGAAGCCCCGATCAAGGATCTTCATGGTGTTCTAAGAATCAACACCACAGCCAGTGAAATCACTCTCACCCAGAATGATGATCTTGTTGTTTGGTCAGCAAAATCGTTAAAACCAGTGGAAAATCCCAGACTGCAACTCCTGGATTCTGGGAATTTGGTCCTGAAAAATGGGAACTCGGAGGTGTTCTTATGGGAAAGCTTTGATTATCCAACGGATACATTGTTGCCAGGAATGAAGCTGGGATGGGATTATAAAACTGGCTTGAACAGAAGATTATCCGCTTGGAAAAACTGGGACGACCCATCTCCTGGAACATTGACCATGGAAATGGAGAATCATAGCTACCCAGAACCCGCCATGTGGAATGGTACTCAAGAGTTCATGAGATCCGGACCTTGGAATGGGATTCGATACAGCGCCAAACCCTTCACCGCTTTCCCAATTTTCGTCTTCCATTACACGAAGAACAAAGATGAGGTTTATTACAGCTACCAGTTGATTAATCAATCAATGATTGGAAGAATGGTGTTGAATCAATCCAAGTTCAAGAGAGAGGCTCTGTTGTGGTCGGAAGCTGAGAAGAACTGGAAGGTATACGCCTCAATACCGAGGGAGTACTGCGATACGTACAATTTTTGTGGTGCTTTTGGGAGCTGCAACATTGAGAGCATGCCTTCTTGTAAATGTTTAAAAGGGTTTAAGCCAAAGGTGCCTGAGAGATGGAATTTGATGGATTATACAGAAGGGTGTGTTAGAAATAGGCCTCTTAATTGCTTGGATGAAGTGGGGTTTGCTAAGTTTGTGGGGATGAAATTGCCTGACACTAAATTTTCTTGGGTTAATGAAAGCATGAGGTTAGATGAGTGCAGGGAGATGTGCTTGAGGAATTGTTCTTGTATGGCGTTTGCTAATACTGATATTAGAGGATCAGGCAGTGGTTGTGTCATTTGGGTTGGTGAGCTTGTTGATATTCCTGTGATTCTTAAAGGTGGACAAGATTTGTATGTTAAAGTACTTGCTTCTGAGTTAGGTATGAGCCTTGTTCTCTTTTTTTTAAACTCCGTTGTAGTAGTTCGTTTTCATTGTGAGATCCCACGTCGGCTGGAGAGGAGAACGAAACATTGTTTATAAGGGTGTGGAGACCTCTCCCTAGTAGACGTGTTTTAGAAACCTTGAGGGGAAGCCCGAAAGGGAAAGCTTAAAGAGGACCGTATCTGCTAGCGGTGGGCTTGAGCTGTTACAAATGGTATCAGAGCCAAACACCGGACTATGTGCTAGTGATGAGGCTAAGCTCCAGGAGATGGACACAAGGTGGTTTGCCAGCAAGGATGCTGGCCCCAAAAAGGAGTGGATTGTGAGATCCCACGTCGGTTGGGGAGAACGAAACATTCTTAACAAGAGTGTGGAAACCTCTCCCTGTTAAGAGGAAGTCCGAGAGGGAAAACCTAAAAAAGATAATATCTGCTAGCGGTGGGTTTGGGTGGTTACATTCATGGTCTTCTTTCCTAGCTCTATTTCAGTTGTTTTCTTATTGTCTGAATCTTTAAATGCAGAGACAAAGAAGAAGAGCTCGTTGACCATAGTTGTAGTTTTAGCTGCTGCTCTCATTGTTGCTGCCCTGCTTTTGGTCGGATTTTACGTTGTTCGAAGCAGGAAACACCTCAGAGGTAAGATTTGCAGCTGAAATGTCTTCGTTTTTTATGATTATCACGCTTACTTAATGGCATTTTGGCAATTCCTTCTCCCGATCTTATCCTCTTTGGACTTTTCGTTTTGGGCTTTACTCTTAAGGTTTTAAAACGCACATCTTAGGTAGAGGTTTCCACAATGTTTCGTTCCCCTCTCCAACCGATGTGGAATCTCACCATTCACCTTCCTTGGGAGCCCAACGTCCTCACTAGCACACCATCCGATGTCTGGCTCTGATATCATTTGTAACACAGCCCAAACCCTTTGGCCAGTTACGTATCGCCATCAGCCTCACGGTTTTAAAATACGTCTACTAGAGAGAGGTTTCCACACTCTTATAAGAAATGCTTTGTTCCCTTCTCCAACCAATGTCGGAGTAGAGCTAGACCCTCCCCATAGTAGACGTGTTATTGTAAGATCTCAAATTGGTTGAAAAAGGGAACAAAGCATTCCTCTTAAGGACGTGGAAACCTCTCCCTAGTAGACGCGTGTTTTAAACCGTGAGACTAACAGCGATACGTATCTGCTAATAGTGGACTTGAGCCAAAAGGCTCGAGGTTTAGAACAAATCTAGACTAAGCCACGAGAAGATGAGCAAATGTAGCTAGGAAACATCCCCCAAAAACTTGTCTGTGGCTGTGTTTTCTCATCAAGGTTTAGACTCCACACTCTAGTTTGATAATCTTAGCTCCCATTTTAACCATGTTTAGCTTCACCCAACACACGATCCATTTGGAACGACTTTTCAAGTGCTTTTTAACAGGCTCGAAATTACCGTTCCTGATATGATTTTCCAACTTGGCAAACAGGTAAGAAGCTTGAAGTGCAAGAGGAAAGCATGGAGCTTCCATTATATGACTTATCAACAATATCACATTCGACAGACAATTTCTCAAACTCCAACAAGCTTGGAGAAGGCGGTTTTGGTGCTGTCTTCTGGGTACCAAACAAAAAACATATTGAAAACGATGATCATCATAATACAACGCAATTGACCATTGGCCCATAAACTTGTAGGGTAGGCTTCCAAACGGACAAGAAATTGCAGTAAAAAGGCTGTCCAACCAGTCAAGACAGGGCATGGATGAGTTCATGAATGAAGTAAAACTTATAGCCAAACTTCAGCACAGAAACCTTGTAAAGCTTCTGGGTTGCTGCATTCAAGGGGAAGAAAAGATGTTGGTCTATGAATACATGCCTAATAACAGCTTGGATTCCTTCATATTTGGTTTGAATCTCTAAAAACTCTGTATCTTTAGCTATATATGTTCGTTTTGAACTAACTTTGGCTCGTTGTGAAACCGTTTAGATTTGGCGGGAAGGAAGCTTTTGGATTGGTCGAAGCGATTCAACATCATATGTGGAATAGCGAGAGGGATTCTTTACCTTCATCAAGATTCTAGATTGAGGATTATACATAGAGATCTCAAACCGAGTAATATCTTGCTTGATACTGATATGATCCCGAAAATCTCGGATTTTGGAATGGCTAGAACTTTTGGTGGCGATCAGATTGAAGGAAACACTAAGAGAGTAGTTGGAACGTAGTAAGTATCTCTAGTTTCGTATTCTCCTCCTCGAGAGTTCGTTATTTCGTTGGTTTAATGCTTTACCTTTTCGGGTGTGTTTTATAGCGGGTATATGGCACCGGAATACGCTATCAATGGACAATTTTCTATCAAGTCTGATGTATTCAGCTTTGGGGTTTTAGTGTTGGAGATTATAAGTGGAGAGAAAAATAAGGGGTTTCATCGTTCAAATCACGCTCTCAATCTTATTGGTCATGTAAGTTACGTACTTTGATGATTCACGATCAACTATAATCCTTAATTAAATGGTGTATTTTTTACGTTTAGGTATGGAGATTATGGAAGGAAGGAAGACCATTAGAGTTTATTGATACATCCATTACGAACTTGTACGCTCCATCTGAAGTATTGCGATGCATCCATATTAGCCTTCTGTGCTTGCAAAAACATCCCGAGGATAGACCGACTATGTCAAATGTGGTTCTAATGCTAAGTAGTGATGGTGCGTTGGTGCAACCGAAACAACCTGGATTATACGTTGAAGGAGACTCACTTGAAGCCCGTTCTTTTTCAAATGAAAATGAATTTCTTACTACTAATGAGTTAACTATTACCCATTTGGAGGCGAGATAAGTGTGTAAAAATTTGTAGATATTATAGGTCGGACACTTTATCAGTGTAAATCATGTTAAGCAATTGAACAAGTCTATGACTAATTTTAGCTTACCATCATTGTCAGCCTTACAGTTTTAAAACGTGTCTGTTAGGGAGAGGTTTCTACACTTTTATAAGGAATGCCGATATGAGACTTCACAATCTAATTGTGAGATTAGAACTAAACTCGGGCAGTGTGCTAGTAAGGATGCTGGCCCTTAAGAGGGTGGATTGTGAGATCCCACATCGGTAGGAGAGAGGAACGAAGCATTCTTTATAAGAGTGTGGAAACCTCTCCCAAACAGACGCATTTTAAAATCATGAGCGTGACGGTAATACGTAATGAGCCAAAGTGGATAATATTGGCTTAAGTGAGCTAATGGGCCGACACCACTCGTCGGCCCAAAAAGTTCTTTGAAAAATCTCTCCTAAAACCTCTTTTCCCGTAAACATCATCTTTTCGTAGAAAGTTCGCTATCCTCTTGGTTGTTTCTCTGTAATGCTAATGGCTATCAGTCTCTCCGTTTCTCCTCAGTCACTAATTCCACTTCAGAAGCCATCGCTCTTACCACGAGTTCAACAAGGTCACTTCCTTCAACTCAAGTCAGTGAGTCGGATTTCGAGTGTTCGCATTCATTCCGGCTCTCAATCGGGGGTTTTGGTGCGAGCCGCTTTGGATAGCGATTACTCGTCGGAGAGGAGTAGTAGCAATGAGAAGAGGGAGGAGATTATGTTGCCTGGTTGTGATTATAACCATTGGCTTATTGTCATGGAGTTCCCCAAAGAACCTGCTCCGACGAGGGAACAGATGATTGATACCTACCTCAACACTCTTGCTACTGTATTGGGAAGGTTCTCTCTCTCTTTTTCGCTCTGTCTATATCTTTATGTTCGTTTTCATTTCAAATGTTTGTGTGAGAGTTTCATTTGAGTAAAGAGTTAAAGAATCGCTGCTCGGACATGCATTGGTTTCGGAGACTGAAAATGAAATTATAGAAACGCATGAAGTTGTTGGAAATTGACATGTTATGTCGATATGGAAGCGTCTTGAGTTATGTAAATATTCATTAGATAACAGATAGGAGTTTGGTGAGGTTGGAATTTCGTTGTTGAAGTGAAACAAGAACGATCATTATCCATTTGCCGAGAGATGGTTGTGCTTGTATCTGTTTCTCGGTTCCCTCTTCGTTGCCTATTTTACTAGTTTTAGGGCACCTCTAATAGGGATTTGGTGCCAATGTGATTGCTTCCTCCTCCTGCTCGCTCTGCTAGTCTTTTTCTTTCCCTCTTTTAGAGCACCATTTATAATAAGAGAAACCAGTGGATTTACTAAAGGAGGTCAGAACAATAAAATGATAGTTACACACGATATATGAGAGAGAGAGATTGGAAAATGTGATTTGAACCTTCAACTTATACCAAGATATCACGAAATTAAATGGTCAAGGATTTGTTAGACTGTGAGATCCCACATCGGTTGGGGAGGAGAACGAAACATTCTTTATAAGAGTATTGAAACTTCTCTCTAGCATACACGTTTTAAAAACCTTGAGGGGAAGTCCAAAAGGGAAAGCCCAAAGAGGACAATACATTCTGGTGGTGGGTTTGAGCTATTACAGTTAGTATCAGAGCCAAACATCAAGCGGTGTGCTAGCGAGAATGTTGAGCTCCGAAGGGGGTGGACATGAGGCGATGTGCCAGCAAGGACGATGGGCACTGAAGGAGGTGGATTGGGGGTCCCACATCAATTGGAGAAGCGAACGAGTGCCAACGAGGACGTTGGGTTTCAAAAGGGGGTGGATTGTGAGATCTCACATCGGTTGGGGAGGAGAAAACATTCTTTATAGGAGTGTGGAAACCTCTCCCTAGCATACGCATTTTAAAAATTTTAAGGGAAAACCCGAAAGAGAAGCCTAAAGAGGATAATATCTGCTAGTGATAAACTTGGGCTGTTACATAGACACTTTGTTATTCATGGTTCTATTATCTATTAAACACAATTGAAACGTAGAGGATTTATCAGACACTTTTCTAATTGAAGGACCTGTAGGCACATCTCTTAAAATTCAGGACTAAACATTTATTTCATTAGAGTGTGGTTAATCTGAAAAACTTGAGAACTGAACGTTCTGGGATTTTGATGAATCGTTGATCAAGGTTATTTTCATCTCTCATGTATGGATTTTCTCGGAAACAGCATGGAAGAAGCTAAGAAAAACATGTATGCCTTTAGCACCACCACCTACACTGGATTCCAATGCACAGTGTCCGAAGAAACATCCGAGAAATTCAAGGGTAAGGATTAGTTTTTGAATTTTTTTTGGAAGTCCTGTTCTGACCATCATGCTGAGAGTTGCCATTATAACCTTTTCATTGCAGGATTACCCGGAGTTCTTTGGGTGTTGCCAGATTCTTATTTAGATGTCAAGAACAAAGATTATGGAGGTTGGGTTTATATCTTCTCTGTATCTTTCTATCCCCTGCTAGTTTGCAACCATAACAGTAGGATTAGGAGCTTCTTTTCTGTAGTTTTGATCGATTATCATAGTTTTTTTTTTTGGTTAACTTTTAGGTGACAAGTATATAAATGGGGAGATAATTCCATCAAAGTATCCTGTTTATGAACCAAAGAAACGAAGAGAAACAAAATACGAAAGTAGGAGATACGAAAGAAAAAGGGATGGCCCTCCTCCCGAACAACGAAAGCCGAGACCCCAAGCGACCAGAACGGAATCAAATTCGGATTAAGGTAGTACACAGATTTTCCTTCCATTATTTGCAGTGATTGCATAGGAAAATAGAATGTTTTTGTTCATTTCTTTTGCAATCCATTAGTATAATATGACTTGAGATTGAGCTCTGAACTGAACTACCAAGAAAGATAGATGCAAAATGAAGAGGTTGTTCATAGAATTTCATCTTTGGACTTTTGTACATGTTGTGTTGTAGTTCAACCTGAAAAGGATTTTTGTTCTGTGATATGATTTTATAGCTTAGGGTATCATTGGAGAATATAATATATAGTTTTAGAACGGTTATTTTTATTAGTATTCAAACCTTCTTGAACTGCAGATTGTCAAGAATCATGGACTTCCACAATTATATGACATTGTCCACTTTGAACATAGACCTCGTGGTTTTGTTTTTGATTTTTTGGGTCTCATTTCCTTACTTATAAATGTATGATCATTCTCTTAATTAGCCGATGCGGAGGACTTCTCACCAACAATCTTCAACACACGTTATGGAGGAATTTTGAGTGGTTTTGGTTGATGGATGAGCTCTCAATACCATGTCTTCATTGTTATATAAATATTTAAATATTGGTGTTACTCTTTATATTTAGGTATTTTTATGTTTGATGGATATTTATCAAATCTATCAAAGATGAATGTGGAATTTACAGATAAATCAAGATATGGATAGATATAGTAAATAACTTTTTAAAAATAAAATTGCTGCCACAATCTATGCACAATAATGGCCTTTGAAGAGAGCTCTGACATTTGACTGATTGTCTGGACTTCTCTTCGTGTTCACCTCACAATCAAAAATCTTTTCTACTTTTTTTTTTTTTTTTTAAATGTCGATTATCTTACCAATTTTTCTTATCCAATTAAAAATACATTTGATGAATATTATTCACTTTTTTGTGTATATTTCTAATAATAAGTTTGGATTGTTATCCACTTTAATCTTAACATTTGTAACTTTGTTTTTTTGTTTACCAAAACTATAATGAGAGAGTCGAGGAGGAGAACGAAACACCCTTTATAAGGGTATGAGAGGAGAACGAAACACCCTTTATAAGGGTATGAAACCTTTCCCTATCAGACATGTTTTAAAGCCTCGAGGAGAAGCTTAAAAGAGAAAATCCATAAATGACAATATCTGCTAGCAGTGGTTTGGATCCTTATTTGTTTATCTAGTTTTCTTATTTGTTTCTTTTAGTGTCTTATCAGGTGTGTTAATGTCCTTATAAACATATTCTCTAACTTAATAATACTTGACTGCATACAGGTTTTTCAGGAATCTCTTTGTCGTATACCATTTAATTATTGACAACAAGGTAAGGGTGTTGTAGTGACCATGTTAAGGAAACTGTTTACCAAAAATACAAGTCTTCACAAAATCGTACGATATTAGCATACGATACGACGAGACAAAAACAAAAATTAGAGAGAATTTTTTAAGCAATTATTGGGAGAGAATTTTCTATGGAATCCCTAACCACCTTTTAATTACTTTCTTAATATCCTAATTATTGTGCTCTCATTTGGACCGACGCCCGGTTCAATTCACTCGCTAAAAAATCACCCGCCCGGTCTCCAAGTCGCAGCCCCTCCATACTGTTTGGTCTTCGTGCGTCAAATCAGTTTGCTACGGTCACCATCACCCGTCCACATCAGGTAACCGTATCATCATTACTCTCCTGGAATTATTTTTTATTTTTTTATTTTTTTTTTCTCGTAGCACAGTAACGCGCGTGACTTCATAGTGGCATGTCGTCGTAATTATTGTCCTTTTCAATGTCTAGTTTTGGAAATTCGGTTTCCGAAAATTATCGTGGGATTGGGATTGGCCGATACGAAGAGAGATTTATATTTTTTTTTAAAAAAAAAAGTCTTGTTGTGAGTTATTTTACCGTTTTGCCCATCCCTTGAGGTTTTTATTTTTTTTTATTTTTATTTCTTATTTTAACTACACGACAACGTTTTGCCGTTCGCGTCCTCTGTCTTTTCCTCCGCCGGTTGTGGTGTTTATTTTTTCTCCGTTTCCCCACCTGAAAGCTTCGGATTGGGTTCGGATTTTCATGGACGAAAATGCCCCTTTTGTGGTATTAAATTTATTTTTATTCTAATAGGGGTGTGCACGGGTTGAGTTGAGTTGAATTGGATTAGAGAATTTTTTGGACCAACCCAAGTCGTGATCTTGACACACTCACGATCAGCCTAGAGGTAAATCCAAGTCTCATATTCATTTTTCACCCCGCTTTGTGGCTTCATCGGATCTTAAGTGAGAAATCTTCGTCGACTTAACATCACTTGTGCATAATTCAAGCTTGTTCGACCACACATGCTGTTTGCACGTGCATGTTCAATCATATGTGACACAAACGACTTGCCTCAACACTACATCAAGTCACTCGACTTGATATTGCCTCTACTCAGGATCAAGGTCTCTCAACGCAACGTCGTATTGAACATCATCTTTGTTCCCAAAATTTTGTGTTGGTCTAGTTCGTGACCCGAACAATCCAAATAGAAATCTTCTACTCATACGATTTTTTGTTCGTTGTATTTATATTCGAACAAAAATTATACGAAATTGACGGTTCTTGAAAATTTAAAATATGTTACGCCGACTACTAAAAATGAAAACGCTCAAGCTCACAGTTAGGGTTGAAAATTGAGGTACACTTCCCTAAAAAAAATGATGTTTAGCTCATATCCCATAATCAGCAATGATATCAAGAACTCAATTTTGTTACCACCAAATCTCAAAACCTTGAAATTTACACAATGGTATCATAATGCTAATCAAAATGTCTCTCATGTGAAATGTCCAAAATACCCCCACAAGAACAAAATTCCAAAAACTAAGCTCCACTTCCCACAAGCCCCCAAAAACAGAGGATACTAAAAGAAAACAAACCACAAACATCTGAAGGATCCCTTACCAAATATACCCCCTACAAGGACAAAACCGTCATTTCACAACACCCTTCAAGCTCATCTCATTCTTCTTCCCCCAAACAGTGTCCCCCACCTTTCTCTATCACAAAACCCCATCAGCGTCCATCTCTCTCTGTCTCTCTCTGAAATTCTCCAGCCATGGCTCTGTTTCGCAGCCAGAATCTTAGCCTTTGGATCTCAATGATCTTGTTTTTGGGTTTTTGTTCTTGTTTTTGCTCTAATTCTAAGGACGATTCTTCAATTCATGAGCTTCTTCGATCCATGGGGCTGCCGGCGGGGCTTGTGCCGAAGCAAGTGAAGTCTTACACAGTGGCTGAAAATGGTCGGTTGGAAGTGTTCTTGGATGGTCCATGTATGGCTAAGTATGAAAACAGAGTGATTTTTGAGAGTGTTTTTAGTGCAAATCTTAGCTATGGGAGCTTGATTGGAGTGCAGGGAATGTCTCAAGAAGAGCTTTTTCTATGGCTCCCTGTTAAAGATATCATTGTTAATTATCCTACCTCCGGTGTGGTACTCATCGACATTGGTGTCGCTCATAAACAGCTCTCTCTGTCCCTCTTTGAAGATCCTCCTGATTGTAGTATCCCTCAAGGTGAATTCTCTTAGATCTCTTCGATTCTTATGGGTTTTGTTGATTTTGATTAATGGGTTCTTCCTGTTTTTCATCAGTTCTTCATCAATGGCTTCTCTTGCCTCTGTTTCCTCTGTTTCCTCTGTTTTTGTCTCTAAATTGATGGAGCTTTCCAAATCTGTCTTTAATGGCTTCTTTTGACCATATTTTCTCCTCTCTCTTTCAATCTAAATTGATGGGTTCTTCTTGTTCTTCATCTTTCTTTTCATTAATGGCTTCTCTTGGCTCTGTTTCCTCTGTTTTTCTTCTCATTAATGGCTTCTTTCTATCTCCTCTGTTTCTTCTCTTCACAACTAACAGTTCAGCTCATTAATGGCTTCCATTCGTTCCATTTTTGGCGAGCTCCATTAATCTTTACATTCCCAAAACGTCTATGAGTTGAAAGTTAGAGACAAGAAAACATGGGAAACTTGCAGTTGAAAGCTCAAAGTTCATTATTTTTGGTTCTGTTTTGTAAAACATTATAGTAACTGAGTTTCTTTGTGTCTGGTTTTGCAGCTGCGTTCAGGAATCATCTCAGGAACCAAAGAGCCTTTGAATCTCTTAGATAAGAGAGCCAAAAATAATAATAATAATAATAAATAATAAAAAAGTTGTCAAATTCAAGTTTCCACCTTTTGTATTTATATCATTTTATTGTGTAATAATTTGTATTTTATTTTATAGTTAAAAAAAAAAAAAAAAAAAAAACCCAATCGATCACATTTTAGTATACCTTCAGAACCCATGTGCCTAGTTCTCGATAACTCGATCAATTTAGACTATTTAGCTCAAATTATGAAGGTTCAATTTTTTTTAGTTGGGTCGACCCATATATAAATAGGATTACAGTTCAATTCAACTCTACCTTAATTTAAAAAAAAAGAAAGAACAACCCGACCATTAGGTTCGTTGTGGCAATTAGGGTTGTTGAGGTCACTAACCCAACAAACCCGAAATTTTTTAAATTTTAATTCAATTTTTTTTTTTTTGGTTAAAAATTACTAGGGATTTTTGTGTAAATATTTCTCCTTTTTGTATTTCTTAAATTATAATTAAAAAAAAGAATTAAATAAAAGAAAAAAAAAAAAGATAAGGAACCAAAGCAAAGGATATTGTAATTTAATTATTAATTATTAATTTAATTTATTTGATATTTTTTGCGCAATTCTCAATAATTTATAAAATGTGGGGTCCGGAGGTTTTGTTATACGCGTGAGTGTGGACCCACTACCTATGCCCTACGGTATATGCGGGACCCACTATTAGCATGCATAATTTCCAACGTGGGCTCCAGGTCATTACTGCTAACCACGTGTCGTACTTTGATTAGTGGAAATTAATTAACAAGCTTAAGATATTTTAACATTGTTGACGTGTACAGGACTTTCGGGGGTCCCTACAGATAAATATGCCGAGATTTTCTTCAAGCATTGTCGATATTTATCGTTTAATGGAATTTAAGATTTATGCCTTTATAAATAAAATATATTAATTTAGTTTTTAATTTTAATTATCTATTTAAAGCGTAGTAATTAAACGTGGATGTGAAATCACGTGTACCGTTCAAATTTTGGTGTTTTTTTTTTGTCGAAATTCGAATAAGGTAATATACTTAATCTTCACATGACAGCAACCGTAAAATTTGTTTGGTGGAAAAGAACGTGACATATAAAACAAAAAAAACCACGAGAGTGTGGTGTTTGTCACCCGTTTTAATGGTGAAGTTAGCAGCGAGAATTAAGGTACAGTGAAGCATTTTATTCGTGTCGAGATATATTATAATATTTTATTCATATTTAAATATCATTATCTCGATATATATATATATATATAACTTATTTTAATATTTGAGGTATAAAATAAATAAATAAACAGTTTAATTAATTAATTTTTGTTTATTAATTATATGTCACTTCAGTGTACATCTAGAGTTGCACTCTTACGTACTTTTAGGACAAGTTGTGTCTATTGATATAATTATTATAAGCAAGTTGTTACTTCACGACTTGTTTGTAATTACAGTTGGATAAGAAGTTTATTTTACTCGTGTAATTACATCTTTTTACCTTAAATGTCACTGATTTTTTAATGAACAATTTGTTTATATGATCTAAACATAAACTAGGTCCCTCTCGAGCTTGTAAGAGAGTGAGAATCTATTGTTCAAATATCGAAATCAATATTTAAGAGAACTATTCATCTACTTACACTATATGAGAAAGAATTATAAACGCTAAACATTTGTAACAGCTATTAACTGGGTCGTATCGATAGAATTATCATAATAAGACACCCAATATTATATACATATTATAAACCCTTTATGTTATTACTTGAACATTATTCATTCGTATGTTTACCATATATTGTTAAAGATTACACTAATAACCTTGAATTCTTCGTAGAAATGTGAAAACTGCAAAATTAAATCCTTGATTAAAAGGCTTTAAAGTATAAGTCTCAACACAGAGGACAAATGATAAGGCAACCTTAATCCTCGGCCCAGCAATCCAAGGTTTTGTTTTTAGTAAGAAAGTAATTAACATCTCGAAATTTGGATCAATCAAGAGATAATGCTAGAATTAGATTACCTCTTGCGAAGCAAGATTTGGAACCTTGTTGTAAATTGAGTCACCTCACAATCTAACTTATCAAGGCTTGATTGAATGACTCGGTACCACAAAAATTGCTTGAAACTTAGAAATGGCAAAATTGATGCTCGGATTTTTAAGGAAAACGTCTCAATTCGAGATCTCAATTTCATTCATTTACCAATCTCATTTTTACATAACATATTGTGGGTATTTATAGTCTCCCGAAAAAAGACGTTTCTGGCCGAGATTCAATCCCGATCCCCTTTAATCTCCACAAAAGACAAAGTCAATTTTGACCATTTGACCATTGTAAAATGAAAACGAAAAAAAAAAAAAACAATAAAATTTTCTAATAAACGCTGATATGTTCGAATGGCTAAGGAGACAAACTTAAAATCTACTCGTGTAGTTCAAGCCCTGTTGTTGACGTTTTACAGTTTTCCAACTTCAACCATGTATCAGCTTCTAATTCTAGAAATGATGGTTGAACCGAGCCGATCCAATTTTGTAGATGAAGAATGAATGTTTGTTGAATCTTCTTCAGCTAGGTCATATAGGTCATAGATTTGGATGGTATCAAAAATCGTGCATCAGTGTTCTACGATATGAATGGTCGACAAGAGAATATCAAAAGACATAACTAGATGACTTGAATTGTAGTATACTCAAGCAAAAGGAGAAGCTCGGGCGAGCAAGATCATGTAACTCTAAGGTTGGGGTAAGCTCGATGGAGCTTAGATAGCGCAACAAATTGCAGAGTAGATCATGAGACATTAATGATTGAAATACGAGCTCAAACGAGCTAGATTATATGATACCGATCATTAGGATGAGTCACTTGACATCAGTTATGGAGATAATCTTGAATAAGCTATAGAATGTGAATCCAACGATTGGGATAAACCATATAATATAAATGATTGAGGTATTTTCGGGATAATATTCTAGATTACGTGGCAAGTGAACTCAACAGTTGCCACGGTGGTGCCTAGTGTCCAAATATTCGGATTTTTATTTTATTACTTTTTATCAGAAACGAATATTATCTTCGGATTAAATTGTATGCAACCGATTGCATAGTAACTTCTTCCAAACCACTTGAAATAAATCTAATCAAGTATTTTATTTCCGATCTTAAGATTCCCGATTACATCCGACGGTCGTAAGATAATTTCAGCAGCTTTGTATAGCGTGGCAGAAGTTGATTAGTGGGATATTATGTATCATAACGCAGCTTATTTTTCCTCCATATACCGACCTAAAAAAGGAAAATTAAAATTCCAAAGCGATGATAAACTGGCGAAGGCTCTTCAATCCTTTCTCGTAGATTCAGCCAATCCGATTTCACTGCCATGGGAGGAGGAGAATTCGTTAGGGCAGCGGCGAAGATGGCCAGCGCCGGTAACGCCGGTTTCCGAGGTGCATCGACGGTGCCTCAGTTCGGGAAATTGCTTCGCGGCTCATCGAGGCCGGTGTCGGTTTCCGTCGGATCGTCTTCTCCGGTGTCGTCGGCGAAGGCCACCGCTGGCGCTGAAGTGGAGGTTCTGCAGAAACCGATGTGGGAGATTGATGACTGGGAATTCGCCAATTTCGAAGACGATTTGGCCATGGAGGCCGCTGGACCTAAACCGAGAATTGTGTTCGGGAACGTTCCGAGTTTCGAAGAGGCGAAGGAAGCTACGACGGAGGTTAAGGAGGCTTTGGATAAGTATGTCATGAATTTCTTGAATTCGAGTTTTGATTGAACTAATGAATGGTTTTATTCTGTGTTCTGTTCTTTACACTGAACTTGGAATCGAATTGACTGGTTTCCATTTCATTAGTTTGTGAATAATATGTGTAATTGTGTGTCAAACAAAAGAAGAACAAAATTGTAAGAAAATTCATTCAGAATCCTTCATTTATCAAAGGAAGAAATGTCCACTGTTTGTCGGAATATGTTTTTGGTCTCTTCATTGTCATGCAATGATGTTATGTTTACCTGAAAATCCAATTTGAGAGCTTTGAAGTGCCATTTCTCGAATTCAGGTTGTGATTTTCGTTCCAATATCATGTACTTTAAGAGCAGTAGAACCATTGTCGCTGTAATTTACGAACCTCCTTGCCTCCATTGCTGCTCCCCAATAAAATTATGTTCAGGGGTGAGCTTCTGCTTGATTTTTTAATTGATTTTTTAATTGATTTTTTTCAGGGTATACTTGTCTTCTTCACCAGAATCTTGTGGATTGAATCTGATTGTATCTTCAAACAGTAAACTAGTGCCCGAGTCTTGTTCATCTATTCAGACAAGTCCACAGACTTCGGTGCCTCAGCACGCAATTCAGGCATTTAGGCTGCTCAAGGAAAGTGCTGAAGCTCAGGTAATTAGAAGGCTGAACTTTAATTATGAAGACAAGTTTGAGCATTATTTAGCCAGCGAATTCATTTAGAAGTCTGATCTTCAGAGTTTAAAACGTCATTTCTGTATTGCTTTCTCCTATTCAGACTGTTGTTGCCTCAATTGCCTCTGACCCAAATGTCTGGAATGCAATGTTGGGCAATGAAGCGCTTAAGAGCTTCTTGCAATCATATCAGACCAGTAAGACTTTATTCAAAGTTCAGATTTTAGTCTCTGATAGTTCTGTAAGCATGCTTCTCTTATCACTAATGGTGTGATTATACTTGTAGACAAAGCACTTGAGTATCAAGAATTATCTGCGAAGCTTGAAGAGTCTCCAGAAGTAAGCTTTGTCGAGGAGTCGAAAAACGAATCGAGTAATGTCTTTCACGAGACACTAGAATACATTAAAACATCAATCGACGACATGCTGGCTACAGCATCCATTTTTCTTCAGAAAATATTCGGATCCTCACCATCTGAAGTTTCTGGAAATGACAAAGCAACCTCTGGATACTCCACTGCAGAGATTGCCATGGGATCATCAATCATGGGACTGGTTATTGTTGTCATTGCCGCACTGGTTGCGAAACGAAACTAGATGTCTAAATATGGTGTTGTAATCTGTCGACATTTCGGTCTTTGAATCTCTTAAAACTGTTCTACTGATCTTAGACATATTACTCGGTTTCTTCGAACCATACAAGACAAAAGGAATAGTTGTAATTATTAGCTATTTCACCTTTGTTTTTGGTTATTATTGTTGATTGTTACAGAACATATGGGGAATTCTATTATATATAACGTTTATATAGCAAATTCTCAGCTTGAACAAAAACTAAGGGGTGAAAGTTATTCTACTGTAATAATTGGTCTTTTCTTTTGCTTTCTGGGAAGCTGCAAGGCTGTTCAATCTTACATTTTATTGTTTGTTATAAAGATACAAAATTGATCAGCAGAAGTATTCTACAGTAAGAAAGAAAAGGTTATAAAACGATGGTTTGGGGGATGATTCACTTGCTTCCACTTAGCCAAGGCCCTTGCCATTCTCCAGGGGAGCTTAGGAAAGGGCTTTGGTGAACTACTGGTCAGTTATGTACATTATGTCCCCTTTTGCTATTTGCATTTGCCCTCTGTCTCGTCTATTCGGTGCATGTGCTCGGTCGGGTTGGCCTCGCTGATAAAAGAACAGAAGCTTGCCATCAGTACTTCAGGAAACCCGACGACATCAAGGTTATTCTACTGGCAAATGATATAAAGGGTGTTTAAGTGATACCTTTTTCAAGACAAATGAAAGGTAGAGATATGCCACTTCCCACTCGTCTGGAGATAACGTGCCTGCGTTCGAGAACAAGAATGAACATTTCTACACATCGAAAAGCTCCTCTAGAGCTAATAAGTTGCAGCAAAGACTTACTTTGATCTTGGTTGCCATCACCCAAGGCACCAAGCCGTCGCATTAGATCGACGAATTCGGGTTTTTTCAAGTACTCGTGCACGAATTCATGCGAGTTCTTGACAAAAACCAACTCTAAGTCATACTGCACATTATTTAACCAGAAACAAGCTTTAAGTTAAAAGAAACAAAAACTACAATAGGGAGTGAAAAGCGCACACAACAAACAAGGAAACCAAAAAGGAACTCTAAAAATACAAGAAACCAAATTAAACAATGAAGAACAAAGCACCCAATGGAGAAACAGACAATAATCCAAGAAGCAAAACCATGAAACCGAAGAGCCACCGACGTCTTCCTGTCGATTCCTCTTTTAAAACACTACCAATCCTTATCAAATCCGAATTGTTAGAAAACAACCTAGGATGGAGCCTTTCAGCTCGTACTGCTCACGCTCCACTCCAGATCTTCACATCTCCTCCACCATAGTGTGAGCTGGGAGCAGCTCCAAAAGGTGAGGCCAACTTTCAAATTCGCTTTCAACAACACCACGAAAAAAGTCAATTATGGTAGCCCACTAATCTGATCATAGGTGAAAACCAATCTCTTGGTCTCCCGGAAGTGCACAAATGGGTAACTAACTGATTGTCTGTACTCCGGGTCCGTGTTTGGATTTGGATCTAGACATCACCGATTGGAGAAGCTCAACTACATTTTGAGGAAGTAGCTACAGAGCCTAAAGATCAAATTAGATTCACTTTCTTTCCATTACACATACAGCAACATTTCTCGGAGTGGAATCTTTAAACTCGACCTCAGCAGGAAGAAACCAAAAAGATTATGTGGTAGCAAAGTTTCAAACCAACTAATTTAAGAGTTGAAGAAAGGGCATCTTTTGAATTCCCCAAAGTAATTCCCAAGAGCTTACAAAATCTTAGTGGGGGTAAGCTCTGGAGTGTAACCCAACCTCCATAACCTTTGGCCACCTAAGTCTTGCTATGTTTCATAAAAGACTTCCAATTTTCTTCCACCTTCCCTTTTAACCAGGACCTCTTAACAACCTGCCGTCCCCCGTCCTCTTCAGAGCTCGAATGACCATCAACGAATTCCGTTCGAGCTTAAAAACCTACTTTTCTTCTCAAAACAAATAAGATTGAGGTTGGAATTTCATCCCCTTACACACAGAAACCACAGAATTCAGATTTATGACTCGGTTGGAGGAAAATCACTCGTACTACAAAATCTTCCCATCTTATTTCGGCCCGACATGCCTTCGGAAATGACTGGTTCGGTTCCCCATATACATCAATAATGTCTCCTCAATCACTTCCCAAATAACAAACCATCCCCTTTTGTTGATTCCAACAGGAACCAGAATGAACACGCACTCGAGTTGCTCATACCACATTTATTAGTTCGAAGAAACAAGTTTTTGAGTAAACGACGCAGAATTGCATGTGATAGTTCATTTGCAGAAACTAAACATAGATATATTCGTAGTGAGAAGACAATAAAAGGTTTCGATATAAATATTTGTCAAGTTTTCTAGCGTTGCGAGACTTCGAGCATTCAAATAAGTTGTTACCTCTTCAGCCAATGATTTAAAAACATGAAAAGGGACGATCCATTCAGGGCAATCAACAGCATCCTGCAACAGGAAGATACCTTCAATATAAAACCAAAATCACAGAAACATAGCCTTTGGCCATGAACAACCACACCTCTAAGGAAATTGAGCTATATAATAAGGCCTGCAACGCTCATATATTAGATATCGTACCTCTAGATGAAACAAGTACTTTATACCAAACGGGCTGGAAGCGTTAAATTTCTGAACCAGCAAAAACGAATAGTTGTCAATTTCAAGTTCAATCTAACTACTGAATAAAATTATTCATTACAAAACAAAGGGGTCGTCTTCCACCTTTTCGGCATGTTCTTCATCAAAGCGTATCCAATAGACGCTATTTCCAAACGTCAAGCCTTGAGCTGCAAATTTACAATGGAAGAAGCATCATTGGTCTGAAGAGATGTACATTTGTATGTTCAGAAACAGGAAACCACATCGCATCACATCACAATTTATCGAGTCGGGTACCAGAGGAGTTCATGGCAATTCATCGCAAACCAACCAAAAGGTGAAGGGAAGGTAGCAAGCAAATCTCTTCATACTAACATATTAACTTCAATAGTAAGTAACATGGGGGTATGAATGGTGACTGAAGAACATGTAGAAACCAATGTACAATGAAAACATATTAAAATCTATGAGACGAATGTTGAACTTATACAACGCTGCCCATTTCTCCGCCAAGTTCATAGTTCGTTGTTACTTGGAGCAAATATTTTCATTGCTAGATGAATCAACACAATCAAAATCTTACTATATTATGTCATTCTAGAAGAGCTTGGGACAGAAATGGTATTTGCCTATGGGAGATGAAAGTTGGAAAGTCGAAACAAGAAAATACCTTCTCTAAGCTTTTTGACGATCACGTTAGCATCTGGCATGGTTCCAATGAGAATACCTCCTGGGCGGAGAAGAGCTGATATATTGGCCAAGGCACGTCGTGCACGAGCCTCGGTGGACCAAGAATAATGCAATGCAAACTGCAAGTTTTAGTTTCAATGGAAGATTTAGAAATTGTTCAGATAAACTCTTAAGGAATCTTCTGGTTTTAATCCAATTTCATAAATTTTTCTTTAAGAACTACATGTATGGGTAGAAAAACCATCAATGTGCCTCATATTTTGATTGCATGTACATTGTTCCTTAATCGGTTTGGATGATGTTAATTGCAAAAGATCTAATAGCGGAAAGTAGATACCAAACCGAAAAACCGTTTACTTTACCCTAACAAGAAGGGCATAAATCACTGATATCACCCACCTGGCAACTGCAAATGTCGAATGGAGCATCATCTGCTAGGATATGATCCAGCCTTGCCTAAAAGCCAAATTTGCAAGTCAATCGAACAGTTCAATGATAATTGTAATCATATTCACACTATATTGGGCGAAATTGTGAGATTCATTTTTTTCAAACTGGACTGACTTGGAAACATCAGTATAACGGCAGTCACCGGTACAATTGAAAAGCTCAACGGTACAGAAATCAAGAATGTGTGCACAGAAAAGGGAGCGGATTTAAATTCACTAGCTATTCGTCTAAGTTCTACTACCTCATAACAATCTCCACATATGAGGCGGGCAGGGAACGAAAATTTTTTACGACGTTGATGATGATCAGCGTCACCATTGTAACGAGTACGACAATCTTCTATCTGCAATACGACACCATAATAACCTTAGACACATGATTTCGTCACAGGCACAACACACTTAACGGCACAACACACTTAACGACGGCCCATGCTTGAGAAAATAAAGGGATTGTTTACTATTCAACTAAAAGGTTATAAACACTAAAGGAGCCGAGATACTCCGGAAATAACTTCAAAATGAATAACTCTAACAAGAATTTCACTTACTGATCCTTCAGCTATATCAATGCCAACATAATATCCAATTCTGGCCTTATCCCATTTGATAAGATCACCACCCTAGCAAGTGCAAAAGAAAAGTGTTCAACGCAAGAGCAAACTACAGCAATTCTTGAAGATTAAAGAGACATACCTTGCCACAGGCAAGGTCGAGAACGGCATCTCCTCGACGAGCATAAAGCTGAACCAAGACACTCTTAATCTATCCAATGAGAACAAGTCATGAACGAACCATTAAAATGATAAAGGATCGAGAATCAAACATAAGGTTTAACTATACAGTAATCAAAATACAACAAATACCCAATTGTTAAGCTTTTTTAAATGGATGATAACACTAGCCTCTCGCTCTTCCAAAGTCTGATTTGTCCTAGCACTGTAATGATCAGCCACTTTCCGAGCAAAAATTTTGGTGGTTTCATCTTCTAAGAACTCAGTATCGCCTAAAAAATAGAACTCCAGAACCATTATTACAGTAATCCCAAACTTCAGATACAACGAACTATACATATTCAAGTAACTCCACTGGAAATCATGAAGCAACATGAAATTAAATGTCAAACCCACAAAGAAAAACAGATCCAAAAAGTGCAAAAGTCGATTGGCAGACGAATTGAAACCATATAACGAAACGAATTAGAATTGCACCTTCTGGGTTGTGCTTGAATCTGGATTGAGGTGGCCCCAAAGACGCCGATGGGGATTCTGAGTATCCTCGTTTCATAGCTAAGAAGGGGAAGAAAGAACCTGAAATCAGGGGTGCTGTTGATTATAACTCAAATACGAAAAAGGGGGTTTTTGTTTCTTATTCCTATTATCTATTGAGCAGTATGAGGGCTGCTGTTAGTTTCTGAATCGAGAGAAACAGAGACGAGAAAACCCCATTGGCTGTATGCAATCAGAATTTGTGGGGAATTAAAAGGGGAAAAGGGGTTTCTTCGTAACCCCAAGGTTGAATAAAGTTGTAATTCTACGAGAGAAACGCAGCGCCGGGAAGGAGTGCTAACGGTTCGGTTCGGTTCGGCTGATTCTATTTGGCCCGGACCGGACCGAACCCCTGCGTTTTAACGAGTTCCATGAAGATTTTTCGATGTCCGGTTAATACCGAACCGGTGAGTTTTATGGTTGGTTCAGTTCGTTTTAAACCCTTTATTATTATTATTATTATTATTAATAGAAAACAACAATTTATATTTCAACACGTTATAATTTCTTTTCTTTTTTTTATCTGTTCAATTTTTTGTTAAATTTACCGGCTGATTTTACCGTCGAGTAAATTAAGAATATATCAAAAAAAAAACGGATTTTAACTGAATCAAACGATATATAAAATTTAGTCTAAATATGGCACAAAATCAATAATCAGGTAATATTTTCAAATATGGCAAATTCTAAATAAATAAAAAAACAAAAATAATTAAATATCAATACTCTTTGTTGACGTGTTTTCAAGTCAAATCTATCTTGGAGTAAAAATTGTTGAGTCTGGACGGTGTCTCAGTCCCAGTGTGGCTGATCATCCTCACAGACAGGCTACTGATCATCGATTTTGGTAAGCTATTGCCTCACCAACTAGCTAATCAGACGTGAGCTCCTCCTTGGGCAGATTCCTCCTTTTGCTCCTCAGTGTATGGGGTATTAGCCGCCGGTTGTTGTTCCCCTCCCAAGGACAGGTTCTTACACGTTACTCACTCGTCCGCCGTCGGAAATCTATCTTGGAGTAAAAATTGCGGAGTTTGGACCGTATCTCAGTCCAATGTGGCTGATCTTCCTCTCGAACAAGCTACTGATCTGGCAAGCTATTGTCTCACCAACTAGCTAATCAGATACGAGCCTCTCCTCGGACGGATTCCTCCTTTTGCACTTCAGCGTCTAGGGTATTAGCAGTCGTTTCCAACTGTTGTTCTCCTCCCAAGGGCAAGTTCTTGCGCGTTATTCACTCGTCCGCCACTGAAAACACCACTTCCTGTCCAACTTGCATGTGTTAAACATGCGCTAACGTTCGTCCTGGACCAGGATCAATTTTATCATAAAAATTAGCTTAGTTAAACAAAAACATGAGTTTAAAAGTTAGTTTTAAATATCATAAAAAATTTATAGTTTAGGTGATATTGTCCAGTTTGACCCTAAGCTCTGGTGACTTTGATTTTGACTTTTCCAAAAAAACATCCTACAATTGTGAGAAGATAGTATTTATTGATTATAAATTTATGATCATAAAAAAAAAATTAAAAAAATAAAAATAAAAATTCCTAGAATTTTCTTTTAGTTTAACCGATTTTCCCCAACTCCAACCATTATAATTTATAACAAATGCAGAGCTTGTCATTTTCCCTCTTTACGTTCTTCGTCAGAAATTCGTTCCTGAACATCCGATCTGCAAGCTTCAAGCCGAGACGAATTCATTTTGAATTCTCTCTTTTTCGATCGTTTCAATCTCAGCTAAACCGGAAATCGACTTGCATTCTTGAAGAGTCGGAAATGGCGAGTTCGGTAAGTTGATTAATCCATGTCTTTTAACAATTTTTATCTTTCTATTTCGTCATTTGTATCATTTATTCAATTTCAGTTTTGATTTATCTTTCTATTTCGTCATTTGTATCATTTATTCAATTTCAGTTTTGACATATTGTGTGCATTGTTATGCTTGGTATGATATTAAGAATGAGAAATAGAATTGGGAAGGTATATATTATCATTGATATTGATATCCTTTAAATAGGATACAAAGAGTACAAATGAGGAAAATATAAAATAATTAAATACTGAGAATAAAATAAAATATACTATAAATCAAATCATAAATGGAAGAATATTAAGATATAATACGTAAGATATATTCCATAAATAATTATCTCGAACATATGAGTATACAATAGTTACAAGAGTATGAGGAATAAATCAAGTTTGATTCATCTGTTTGTCTTCTGATTTGAGCATACTCTTAAACCATTGAACGGATGCCTTTGGAATCCTTGTGAGATTGTTCTTGTAGTCAATATAGTAGAGTCCAAATCGGACGGTGTATCCCATGTTCCACTCCCAGTTATCGAGCAGCGACCACGCGAAGTAGCCTTGTACATTGCAGCCTTCTTCCCTGGATTTATTTAAGGATGCCAAAAGATTTAGTGTTGTTGAATCAATCCGGTGAAATTTCATTTAATAAAGGATTATCATTAGCATTTTGAGTTGTTATCACCTAATGGCAGTGGATAGATTTGAGAGATAATCTCTGTGGTAGCTTATTCTCTTATCATCCTGTAATGCCTTTTCCAAAGGTATGGACCGTTTGTTTGGATCATCCATTCCTGTCAGAACGAGTTGAAACTTGTGTCATTTTGTGAAATTTTTTAGTTCAAAGTTTGGAACTATCATTACTCACCGTTCTCTGTTATAATCACTGGAGGGTTCCCATACTTGTATTTCAAATAAATTGCCAATTTCCGGATTCCCCATGGAACAATGTGTAACCAGCTGGAAGCTGCCTGGAAAAGGATGTTTGTATCAGCTCACTTCAATTAAAATATACAAGAGAACCTCTTGGGATCCAGACTTGTTTGAGACATACTCTTTCTCCAATGGTAGAGACACCTTTGTGTGCTGCAATAGAGCATTTGTAGAATAAAGATCGATTACCTTCTACTTTTGATTTATAGCCAAACATGTACAATTTGCAAACTCTTTTTGAGCAAATATATGAATATGGAGAATAATATTGTGCTTAAAAGCTTACGGGTAGCAATGACATAAGAATCTGTTGAGGCGTCATTGAATATCAGTTTTCGAATCCCAATCCTGTCATTTCGAGCATACAAGGAGGTGTAGTGGTTCAAGCCAACGAAATCCAGGGACCCTGTGAGGAACTTTGAAGTTACACCTGATATTTTTGGTAGTCTTTCCCCCACAAGCCTTCTCATTGAAAGAGGATATTTGCCAAAGAAAATTGGATCAAGAAACCTGAAAATTTTCAAGGTTGTTCCATCAAATTCTTGAAATTCAATATCTGGTAAGTGCAATCACTTAATTAATGGAGATGAGCAGTTACCATCCAAGTTCAAAGTCAAGGGCTCTAAGTGCTGCTTCTCTGTTCTCGTCATTTTCAGATATTGGTTCATACCATATGGCATCTAATGCTATTCCTATCTGACCTCCTTGTCTTTTCTAGTAGACAAAAAAACATAACATATTAACCTCTTAGTTTACTTATGGCTTATTTACGTGCTTCAAAGTTTCTGGAGTTAAAATTGCATATTATAGTACCTTGAAATGAATTTGGTAACTGTGATAAGCAGCAGCATGAGATAAGAGAATATGATGTGCCACTATATATGGTTCAGAGGATGAGTTTCCCTTCTTGCATAATATATGACCCAAAAAAGAACATCTACCAGGAGCTTGAATTCCTAGGTCATAGCTTTTTATTGAGTAGCCATGTGGTTCATTGAAAGTGATCCAGTTCTTCACTCTATCTCCAAATGCTTGGAAGCACGTAACAGCATAATGTTCAAAATCTTTTCTACAAGGAATTGAGCTTGTTATCAACTGATCATCATTTCCAAGCATTGGTATATCATCTGGTTTAGTTGTACTTACACTATCCTTCTGCTCAGCCATCCTTCGTACTCATCTTCAAGGACTTGTGGAAGATCCCAATGGTAAAGAGTTACAAAAGGTTGAATTCCTTGTTAAAAGGAAAAACCCACTTCAGTGATATATTACCATAAGGAAAATTGAATGCTGAGAAATGATTTAACAGATGACCTTTTTCTAGCAAAGCATCTATAAAATCATTGTAGTAGTTTATTGCATCTGGGTTTGGCTTTCCTGTTCCATCTGTTGATAGTTTCTCATAGGCAGTTAATGATATATTGTTGGGAAGGAAATGCAGTTGGTTTAATTACTTGAACTGTTTCTTACTTGGAAGGATTCTTGGCCATGAGACTGAAAATCTGTAGGCATCCATTCCCATATCCTTCATCAGCTGTATATCGTCCTATAATAAGAACATAATTTACATCTAGTTAGTAATAAGAAGGGGAATCATAGAATGACTATAATAAATGAACTCAAGTATGACAGGTGTTTATCCTCCCATTATTATATTTTACAGTTGGTTTGTCATTAATGCATTATTTACTTCTCTCTCTGTCTTCACCTTAAATCTGTGGTATTGGTCAACTGTCCTGTCTGCATTGCTGAAGTCTAGTATTCTTCCTAAACAATGCACCAAAAGAAATAGAAATTTACTCACTACTAGTATGAATTATATTGTATTCAAACTAGTCTTCTGTCGTAAAAATAGAAAAAAAAAAGTGTTCCATCAAATTTTAACTTGCCTGGTTCCTTCACAAATGTATCCCATATGCTGGCACCCCGATTTCCTTCATCTACAGCCCCTTCGAACTGCCATAGAATATGTTATTTTTTCATATTTTTAGAAACCCAGCAATGAAAGTAGCCACAAATCCCTCCTTACCTGGTATGCCGATGCTGCAGTTCCAAAAACGAAGCCATCTGGAAACTCAGCTCTGCTTAGACATTCAGAATTAGTAAAGAACTGAATAATCAGAGAGCAAATCAGAATGATTCTCATGGGGAAAAGTTTGAATTCCTGATGAGAAGATGAACTCTCAGGTCGTCCCGTTTTAAATTCCCCAAATCATTCTTAAGTACTTCGTCTTGTTAGGTATTTCGCCTGCTGGAATAGGAAAAAAAAAAAAAAAAAAAAACAAGAATGGATAGAAATTCAAAATTGTTAAGAACAACAATGGATAGATTAGCTGAATTATGAAATAAGTTGCGTGTAATCTATCTCAATCTCAATCTCTTCCTTTCTTCCTGTTGTTCACTTTTTTGAATCTATATGCAGTTGGTGATATCAAAAGAGGAGAGAAATGGATAGAAAGGAATCTAAAGATGACATCCGGCAAGCAACTGTCATTAAAAAAATTGCTTCAAAGTGGCGTGTCTGTGGAGAAGAAGCTCACGTTTGAAAAGCTTTAAAGCTTCTTAATTTGATGAAGCCAAGCCAACAACCGAAAGACCAGGGCGGTTTGCATTGAAAGGTAAGTCTTCTCTTTTTGTTACTGAATCCAATATATAGTTTTTTTCCATTACGGTGGTGATTATTATAATGCCCTGCTCCAAAATAGTGGAGAAAAAAAGGGGATAAGGTCAAAAGAGGATTAAATTTAGGGCCCTGCAAGATCTTTCAATTACGTTTTTTATTTGTTAAATTTGCAATTTAGACCAACCTTAAATTTTCTTATCCCATCTTTATGGACAAATTTTTTTTTTCTTTCTTTTTCATATTTTAATTCTTTGGGGGTGTTTGTTGAGATGGAAAATGACATGGGTTTATAAAACACATATTTTTGGAAGGAAAATTAATTTATTTTAATACTTTTTCTTTTTTCTTTTTGTTATTTTTGTTATTATTTTTTTTTCTTTTGTATGGTTTCTTCCTCAACTTATTTATTTATCTTGATTATTTTCATTTTTTATCTATTCTTTTCTTTTTCTTCTAAATATGATTTTTTAGATTATTTATATTAGTGTTGTTTCTCTTTCTTTTATAATCTTTTATAACCTTATTTTCTTCCACGAGTGTTTGATTTAATATAATTTATTCCACTATATACCATATTTAATTTTTAGGGCTAAAAAGTTACGATTAAAAGTTTATATAATTTTATTAAAATTATGTTTTTTAGAATAATTATTAAGATTTATTATAAAATAAACTCAAAGACCTAAAATTTAATGAACATGAATAAAAATTGAATTAAAATTAAATTAGTGAATTTTTTTTTTAATAATCTAACTTAATAAAAATAAAATAGTAAATAGTAAACCATAATTAATTATTTAAAATTAAATAATTTAATAAAATTATTAAAAATACTTTATTTATATGAAATTCTATAACGTTTCTATTTGATTTAAGTAAATTAAAGCTAATATAGTTCTAGTGGTAAGATATTTTTTCCTTTTCAATTTATTATTTAAGAATTTCTATTTCGTGGATTCATGAAGACATTTTTTAAATTATTTTGTTGACTATTAAAATTAGTCGATAATAAGGTTACAGACATATGAGTTATTGAAAATTTATAAAATAAATTAGGCCACATCTAAAAATAAAAAAGCTTATGCTTATTTCTTTAGACATTTTGACTTTTTCTCTTTTAGGTGACCTAATAAATTTTTGCAAACTCGCTAAATATGATGTCATATAAACTTATCATTGTTTTGTTTTTAATGTATACGCTTGTATAGTTTATTATATAATGTGGTATATGTTAGAAGAACACGACTCTTCATAATGGTACGATATTGTCCACTTTGAGTATAAGCTCTCGTGGCTTTGCTTTGGGCTTCCCCAGAAGGCCTCATACCAATGAAGTTAGTATTCCTCACTTATAAACCCAGAATCACACCTTAAATTAGTCGATGTAGGACTTCCATCATCCAACAGTATATTCTTATTATATTCTTATTATGTTTAATAATAAATAAATAGATCTCATTAATAATTTTTTAACAAATAGAATGGATAAGCAGCCACCCTCCCCCGTAATTTTTGTCCTTTTCTTCCCCACCCTCCCATTTTTAATAGATAAAAATATTAATCATGAGAGGGATAAATTATATATGGGTCAATATTATTTCGTTGGAGCCTCATGTTTATTATAAGATTTAGGTCCAAATCTCAATAAACTAAGCTAAACTTATTAATCAATCCCTACCTCTACCTCTACCTATGCTAAAAGCTTTTAAGTTTTTCATGTGTTAACATGATTGTAACAGTCCAAGTCCACCGCTAGTAGATATTGTCCTCTTTAGGCTTTTCCTTTCAAGCTTTTCCTCAAGGCTTTAAAACGCGTCTATTAGGTGAAGGTTTCCACGCCTTTACAAAGGATGTGTTGTTCTCCTCCTCAACCAACCAACGAGGGACATACAATATAGTTTTTCTAAAAAACAATAGATAAGATAACAAACTTTAATACCAAAACTTTATTTATTTATTGTTTAATATTAAAGTTTCTATTATTTTTGGTTGAGGTTATCCATGATCGAAAGAAACTTTGATAAGTTTCTTTAGCATATACTTTGTTTTGACAAATAACTCGTGGTTGAGAGTAGAGAATTTAAATTACACGCCATAATAATAATGATAGTAATAGACAACGACCATTAGATAAAATCTATTGTGATCAAAGGACCAAAAACACTTAGAGGGTATGTTTTGCAATAAATATTATGTTTTTATTTAAATATTTTTTAGTGGATTTTTTTATATTGGATTATGTGATCCAAACACACAAATTCCTAGAAATAACTTTTTAATGCTTTCGGTGTTTTCTTATTCTGAATTTGAAACTTCAAATTGGAAAATTACGCTATTAAAAAAAAAAATTCAATAAATATATTTTTTAATTAAAATATATTAATAAATTTATTAACAATATTCAAATTTTAATAAAACATTTGTAGGTAAATCACTCCTATTATTATTATTATTATTTTTTTTTTATATATTACTACTAAATGCCTTTTGAACGACTTTTTAAAGTGGGATTTAATTTCTAAATTTATTATCAAATACATATTAAAAATACTAAAAATATATAATACAAATTTATTATTTGTTGAATCTCCTTGGGACAATTTTATTTCCTCCAATACTCAAAAGAATAATAATGTGATAATTGTCTCTTAATATAGGATGAGAAAAATTTTGAGAAAAAAAATTATTAATAACGTGATAATCCTCTCTCTTAATCCCCCGTGCCACCCCGACTATATTCTCCCGACCTCGATCTATGTCTTCCCATCTAGACCCGCTAGTACCACAGCTGATTTTAGTTTTTTTTTTTTCTCGAATAACTTATGGTGTAAGCATAGGACTTTAAAATAGGATAAATTATAAAATGTGAATTTTAACATAAAATACAACAAAGCTTTTAAACCCTTTAAAATTTAAAATTTAAAATACAACAAATAAGTAGGGAGAGAGCATTTGCAAGCAAGCCAAGCCCAAATGTAGGTTTTTTGGGCCACATCTATCACTTGGGAAAGCCCAATCAATTTTTATTTTTATTTTTATATATTACAGAAATTAATAATAAAAATATCCATTAATAATAAATCATCACAACTATATTTTATCAAATCATAACATTTTTTAAAACTATTAAAATTAAATTATATCTTTTGTGGGATTTATAATTCAATCATATAAATATTATTAACAATATCATAACCTAATTATTCATTTAAAATTAATTTTATGATTTTTTTTATTTACATAAATATTCTTTAATACCTATTTTTATTTTTAATTAAAGTATATTTATTTATATGAAATACTCCCACTTAATTTGAATATATAATTTTGATAATTTAAAAAATTAATATAAATGTATAATTGTAGGGCAAAAATATATATTTTTTAAAAAAATAATCAAGGAAGGAATAAAAATATATTCTTACCAAGGCCAAACCCAAAACTAATCCGAAAGCGGATAAAGCTACACCTGTTCCCAAACACCCGTCTAGGGCAACCCTCAATCGGTCTCTAAAAACCCTAATCCCCATCTTTTCTCAGTTCTCAATTACAGCGCCACTTCCTCCCCTTCCCCCAAATCACCCAATCCCTAATTCAGATCCTCCAATGGGTCGTGTCATCAGAGCTCAACGTAAGGGTGCCGGATCAGTTTTCCGGTCTCACACCCACCACCGCAAGGGTCCTGCCCGTTTCCGCTCTCTTGATTTCGGGGAGCGAAATGGTTACCTGAAAGGTGTGGTCAGTGAGATCATCCACGATCCCGGTAGGGGTGCGCCGTTGGCCCGCGTCACCTTCCGCCACCCCTTCCGCTACAAGCACCAGAAGGAGCTCTTTGTCGCCGCTGAGGGTATGTACACTGGTCAGTTCGTTTACTGTGGAAAGAAGGCTAACCTCGTCGTCGGTAATGTGCTTCCCATCAGAGCCATTCCTGAAGGTGCTGTGGTTTGTAATGTTGAGCACCATGTTGGTGACAGAGGTGTGTTCGCTAGATGCTCTGGTGATTATGCCATTGTTATCAGTCACAACCCAGATAATGATACCAGCAGGTAAATTTTGATTTCTGCACTTTCTCCTTTTTGTTATTTTCTGAAACAGAATCGAATCATGTTTGAATAAGAACTATGGGTTTTTCTTTGATTGTTTTATGTGGTTGTATACTTTTCAGGACTCGTTCTTTCTTGCTAATTGTTCTAGGGATGTTTGTGCTATAATTCGTTTAATGAAGTTTGAACTGAATCGAACAAATGGGTTTGATTTGAATTTGCCTTTTGCGGTCAGAGATTACAGATTTAAGATCTCTGTTTTGGGTTACAGATTCCCTTTCTCATATATTCTCTGAAATTAGTTTATTGTTTTACTAAGAGTTCTATTTGTGCTCTAATTAACAAACAGTAATTCAATTGATATATGTGGATAATCTTATTGACATCTTTGAACAATTTGTATGGGAAGGATTGTTTGGAAACAAGAGGATAATTTTGGAAGGAGTGGGAGAAGATAATTTATGACATCTGATTGTAATGGGTTTAGCTTCCATACGGATTAATTCTTATTGTCAATCATTCTTATTTTCTTTCATTTTTATAGTTTCACTTGATTGTTGATATAATGTTGTGCTTTGGTTCAAAGATATTGTTCATCTGTAAAATAAGTTTTATTTGTGTTCTGTTCTTGGAGTGATGCCTAAAGTTAGTAGTTTTACAGCACGGAGTTCCTCTGTTATCGATGAACATGAATATCGATATGCTATTGAACTTTTATCACAGGAAAACTTGTACTCCTTTAGAATATAAACTCTCCTTGTTTATGTTTACTTGCTGCGTGATTTGCAAGCGTTTGCCACTGTGTCTTCATTTCTCTGAAGAAGGCACATGTAGAGTACCCTCTTTGATTCCTAGCCTGCCTTCATCTCGAAAAGTCTGTGTTTTGCAGGATTAAGCTACCATCTGGAGCCAAGAAGATTGTCCCAAGTGGGTGCCGTGCTATGATTGGTCAGGTTGCTGGAGGAGGAAGAACAGAGAAGCCTCTTCTGAAGGCAGGTAATGCTTACCACAAGTTCCGTGTGAAGCGTAACTGCTGGCCCAAGGTTCGTGGTGTTGCTATGAATCCAGTTGAACATCCCCATGGTGGTGGTAACCATCAACACATTGGTCATGCCAGTACCGTCCGCCGTGATGCCCCACCTGGTCAAAAGGTTGGTCTCATTGCTGCCAGAAGAACTGGTCGGCTCCGTGGACAGGCTGCCGCCACTGCTTCCAAGGCTGATAAAGCTTAGAGCAATAGTTTCATGTGTTGGACGCTTATTTTGCCTAATCCTTAGCCCTTTTTCATTATGTTTGATTGGATTTGCATTGTGTTGAAGAAGACCATATTTAGAAGTTTTTGTCCCAAGTTTTGTTACAACATAGATCCTTTTTTAACATCATCCTCTCTCCTATTTTTGGTTGCTACAATGAACTTGAGAACTTGAATACCAATTTATCCCTCTCACAATCATCCATATTTCCTGTTTACCTTGCTTTCTCTATGGATAATTTATCAACTTAAACAGGCTTTTTAAATGTGATACAATTACTCGATCCCTTCCGTTTGGGCTCAACGAGTGCCTTATTTTTGGACGGTTTATCTATGAGGTTCCTCGAAAGTCTTTTGGTTGACTTCCTAAAGATTATCTAGAGCCTTTGTTGACCCTAGGGGCTTGATTGGACTTCAAGAACCTTTCGGTGACTCCCTAACGATTATCTAGAGCCTTTGTTGACCTTAAGGGCTTGATTGGACTCCAAGGTTCCTCAAGAATCTTTCGTAGCTTGGCTCATCATTGTTGAGATAATGGTCTACTTCTTCACATTTACTATGCAATGCATGCTGTTGTTGATAGACAGAAGAACCATGGTATGCACTTCTGTGTACTAGCTAAAGCGTTGTGTACTAGCTAAAGTGTTACTGTTGGGTCTAAAGTGTTAGTTGGGTGGAGAATGACTACAAATTATCTAGAATCATACGGTTAGAATCACTTCCTACAAATTATCAAGAACCACAAATTATCTAGAACAATGTCTGACTCTACAAATTATCTAGAACCATTGTCAGACTCTAGGAGCTTGAGCTTGATTAGACTCTGAGGTTTACCATTGTCAGACTCTAGGAGCTTGAGCTTGATTAGACTCTGAGGTTTCTCAGGAGTCTTTTGATCGGCTTCCTAAAGATTATCTAGAGCCTTAGTCGATTGGACTCTAAAGTTCCTCAAGAGTCTTTTGATCGGCTTCCTAAAGATTATCCAGAGCCTTGGTTGATTGGACTCTAAAGTTCCTCAAGAGTCTTTTGTTTGGCTTTCTAAAGATTATCTAAAGCCTTGGTCGATGCCCGAAGAGGTTGATTGGACAAACCGATGACTAGTTGAGGGATTGATCAAACCAGCCAAGGTCAAAGTCCCTGAACAAATCAGCTGCATGACCCTACGTCAAATTGTTGGACTAGCCCTTTTTGGGCTCGCCTAGACTTAACCTTGTAAAATGAAAACAAAATTATAAAATTGTTTGAAATTATTCACTTATTGGGCCAGTCATTACAACCAGCGGCCCATTAAAAAACCAGATTGGGCCTCATTTGTTTGGGCCAGTCATTCAACCAGAGGCCCATTTAAAAAACCATATTGGGCCTCATTTGTGTCGTGCCCTACTAACGACAGAGATAACCAGAGAAAATAGCGGAAAGACACATTTTTTCTTAGTCTGTTCCAGACAGGGTTTAGCAGCTTAAACCCACAAGGCCATGGCTCTCAGATCGGCTGCGGCGGTGGCTCCTCGGAGTTTGAGGCGGCTCATTACAGGTACTTCATCTCGTACTCTACCGATAATCTCGCAGGCAATTTGGGATTGGGAGAAACTGGAATCGAGCACGAATGCCTTCGTTTCTGGGCGGCTTTTCTCTAGCACTTCAATTTCCAGTTTCATTCCTCCGCCGCTCCCTCCGTCAGCTCAGCAGCGTGAGAAGCCTGAGCCTAGTACTAACCTTTTTGTTTCCGGTAACTCACTCTTTCTTAATCTAGATGTCTTTCGTTTAATTGTTTTAATAATCGTGTAGTTGTTTCTCGTAAATGTGTCGCGATTTGTAAATCGACCATTTTTCTGGCGGTGAATCTGCGAATATTATTGTGTTTAATGGTTCTATTCCTGCCGAATCAGTTCTGTGTGGCTATGGTGGCGTTACGTATTGGAGTTTGTGGAATTTCAGTTTTCCTGTTGTTTCTTTTTCCTTCTCTTTAATTATTAATTTGTTCGATAGCTTTTTAGTTAGTGTTAAGACATCTTTTTGAATTTCATACTTTTTCCCCTCCGCGTTCTTGAGTTTGCTTCACCCCTGGATTAGCAATTGTTGTGATGCATCCGTATATTTATCAAGTTTTAATATCGGAGAGTTAAGTCGTGGTAGAATATCAAGTGTTGTATGCTTAAGTCTATGCTTGATCACATGAGGTGGCTATCCGTGCTCTGGGAGGGGCGTTGGATTTCTCTACTTTGATCTCTTTTAATGATTAGTTCTTGGAGGTTGGAATTGAAATTTGGCTATGAATGTGTTTTTTTCATTCTTCTGTTTGTTCCCCAGTAGAGGAATTATCTGATTTTTAATCTAGATAATTGAATTATTGTTGTTGCTCTAAAAAAAAGTCTTTGTTTTTCATGTGTCGTTGGTGTTTATCTTCTTTCAGGCCTCAGTAAACGCACTACTACTGAAAAACTAAATGAAGCCTTCGCAAAATTCGGAGAAGTTGTTCATGGTCTGTCCGTTCTCTTTGCTTATGTTTGATTTGTGCTTAGGCCTTTAGAATTGCCGTCTTTGACCTTTTGTTTTCCCTTCTGTTTACAGCAAGAGTTGTGACTGATCGAGTGACTGGATACTCTAAAGGATTCGGCTTTGTTAAATATGCTACTTTGGAGGATGCAGCTAAAGGCATAGAGGGTATGGATGGCAAGGTAAGTTGGCATCAATTCCCTCTTTTCTCATTCGAGACGTGAAGCTTGTCTGTTGTGTAGTTTTATCCACATTTATACAAGATTCCTGGATCTCTTACTCATGTTTTGTGCCTGTGTTAGGAGAGAGGCCAGGGTTGTTGACTACTCTACGAACAGAAACTCTAATAAATGAGAGAGAAAATAAATTAGAATATGTTTTATTATGCTAATGGGGCGTACTACCCAAATAAATACAAGATTCCTGAATATGGCTAAGATAGCATTCTAGAGCATTTGATCAGCAGCATGGAAAACATATTACCTCGTACAATACTCAGCTTTTTTATTCTTTGCCTTCAAGTTGGCTGCATTTTTTATTCTTTCAGATAGTAATGGATGTTTAAGTTTAGCTGCTCGAATTGTCTAATTCTATGGCATATCAACTTCACAACATTTAGAAAAGACACTGTAGGGGTGAGTGATACTCATATCCGAGGTAAACCATAAGCTCAAAGCTGTGTGTGGTATAATTTTTCTTGGATTGAAGCCAACACATGGTGGTTGCATTTTGATCAAATATTCTAAAGAGTATAACCTTGTTGCCAAAATTTGGGTGGTATTTGACAATCCCTTGTGAAGGTCTTTCTCACCGTTATTTTGACGGTACGCCCCTTTAGGGTGTGAAGCCTTTGTTGCGGATGCATGTTGCCTGGACTTTCTTTTGGGTTTTATGCAAGAAAAGAAACCAAAAGGTGCCCTTCGACAAAGAGCTCACCTTTGGTGGGTGTTTTGATTTTGTTATTTATCATTACTATTATCATCAATTGTTAAAACCATTCCAATATGTTGCTAAATTGTTAATGAGCCTTCGTTGGTCAAAAGGTCTTTAAAGAACAGACTTAACAACACAAAACAATTGTAATTAAACAATTAATTGATTTAGGTCTCTTTTAAATCCATTTTGTTCATTTTTGGAGTTCAACAATTGTAGGGGTGGGAGACTAAACCATTTACTTTGACATCACTTCCCTAGGTTTTCTTCACTATAATTTTTGACATTTTGGTAGAAGAATTTTGTCATTGGCTGTTCAAATTAACTTGATTCCATGCAGTTTAACATATACTCTGGTAAACTTTAGAGATTAGAATGGGGAGACTGGTTTGATGCTTGCTTTTGAACACACGCTGTAATTTGTTTATCATGATTGAATGATGATGAAACTCCATTTATTTTACCTCAATGTTTTCCAGTTCCTGGATGGTTGGGTTATATTTGCTGAGTATGCAAGGCCAAGACCACCTCCCGAGCACCACTCTGCTCCTCCGCATAGCCAGCGACCATATTAATTTTTGCAAGGAAGAATGCTTGCCATATCCACTAAGCTCTCCTGGTATGCAAACTGGCACGCAACATTTATACACGATTCAAGTTCTTTTTTCAACGGAGGTTCGTTATTCTCTTCCATTGCTTAGAACCTTTTTGTACTACGGAACTGGAGATTAGCCGCAAGAATCAGAGTATATTTAAATTGAGAGAAGAAATTTTATACGTACCATGTATGACCCTACTGCTAAATACACTTAGTTAAAACTAATTTATATATAAATTCGCAAATAAACTTACTTTCCAGTGCATTTTTTGTCAAGTGAAATTGGATTGAATATAATTTTTTTTTTTTTTTTTTTGATATGCTGCGTAGAAGTGAAGAAAAGCTTGATTCAAGCTTAATAAAGGGAATTATGTATGTAATCTCATTACAGAAACTAGAAAGAAATACGAGATTTCTTCTTGCTTATGAAATGCTGAAAAGTTCTTCATCAATTTTAACCTACAAAGTATAAATGCATATCTTTTTTGCTTGCATGATTGAGAAACAAAACTGCACAAATGAGCCAAGTTGTTCTTCTCTTTGTAGTTCATTATGTTTTAATTAGCTTTTATGTTTTCTTCGATGGTTCATTTGATTTAGATTCTGCCATTCGAAACTTTCCCTTTCAACGACAGACTAGACTAGTTTTGAACTAATTTTTTAACTAAATTCATGTTCATTCCAAAGCTTGAAGTATCATTTGTAGAGATAAAAATTTCAAACGTTTCATGTGACGTTTCATGTGAGATTCCATATCAGTTGGGGAAGAGAACGAAACATTCTTTATAAGGGTGTGGAAACCACTCTCTAGACACGTTTTGAGCAAGTCTAAATAGGACAATATCTGCAAGTGGTGGGTTTGGACCGTTACGAATTGTTATATCAAAGTAGATCACTTGGTGAATTGAAATGGAGTCTCTAATAGTTCTCTAAACTATATTAGATTTATTTTTACTATACATTTTCTTTCTTTCACTTGTTTCAAATTAAAGAACATGCATACTCATTAGTAGGAACACATTGGTCTCTTTTTGGCATATGCCAACTAGAAAGCTGACCTTCAAGCACCACCAGGAGAGGTTCTTTGTCCCAACTCCATTCCAGCCATGGTGTCATAGAGAGGCTTATTCACCGTCTCCGGCAAGAAAAACACCAAACTCCCACCCACCAACCCACACACTGCAAACACCCCAAACGCTAAACCACCTCCCAAAACCACCACAAACGGCGCTAAAACCGCCCCCATTTGAATCGCCAAGGTGGCGCAGCCCATCGCCGTGTTTCTCACTGCCGTCGGAAACAGCTCTTCCAAGTACAAAAACAGAAAATTATAGTTCCCAGCCATACCAAATATCCCCATAATCCCACACACCATCCTCGCCACCTTCCACTTTCCATGGCTTCTCAGCAAGCTCCCAATGAGGCAGAATCCTCCACTGAGCCAGAATGTCCCTACTCCTATCCCTTTCCTCCCAAGCCTCCCTAACAGAGCTGCAGTTATGGTGTATGCTGGAGTCTCCGCAACTGCATTGAGGAGGACGCTGAGGTAGAGATTCGTCTTCAGGTTGACGACGTTTAAGCTCAAACCGTAATATGCAATTGCTCCTACAAAGCTTATAGACATTGCTAACAGCAGACGTATTCTCGTGATCGGCGAGCGAATTAAGACAACGAAGCTACCCTTTTCTTCGTGTTTGTGCCCCGAACCCCTATCATCTTTGTTGAATGCTTCTTGATCAAGTAGAAGGATTACTCCTTCAGGAAGGTGTTTACCATTGCATTTGGCTATGGACTTCATCACCTTCATCGCCTCATCGAGCTTCCCGCGAACTAGATACCATCTTGGAGATTCAGAGACAAAGGGAAGGACGGCAACGAGGAAGACGAGAGAGGGAATTGAGGACGCTATGTACAGTTCACGCCATGGTCGAAAAGTATAGGCCATCCCTGATAGTATGGCAATCCCACCAGAGAAAAAGTAGAACGACGACATTCCAGCCACCCCGCGTTTCGTCGGGCCAATGGGTTCGGTGGCAAGTACGAAGGTGCTTACAGAATTCCCACCGCTGCTGATTCCGGTCAAGAAGCGGAGGAGGACGTAGGTCCAGTAATAAGGAGATACTGCTGTTAATAAGCCAAATGTGGCGTTTAATGAGGAAACTAAAGCAAGTGTGCGTTTTCTTCCCAAGGCAGAGTTTGAGAGGTAGCCGAAGATAGCAGAGCCTAATGATATTACAATGAATACATTAAACTATGCATTTAGTCTTCATGAGCCTAATTTTAATACAAGAACTCAAGAGACTAACCCATCATGCTGCCAAGAAAGAACATAGCCTGAGCCAACCCAACCTTATACTTATCACCACAGATCAAATCCCATTGAGCCACCGTCGAGCTCCGGCGACCTTCGACCCATTCCCACGATCCCGGCTTCAACTCACAAACGCTCTTCCCGGCTCTGTCACAGGCAACTCCTTCGACACACCGCCATTGGGGCTCATGGTCGGCGAAGATGACGACCATGATGTGTAGAGCTTCTAAGGTCCAACTCAAATTGACCAACACGAAGTTCTTCAACTGCCATGGTCCAAACTCCCCACAATACTTCTGCAGCATGTCGTCGACTGTCAGCCTCTCCTTGGGCAACTCGACAGCAGGTTCGGTCGATGGCGGTGGCTGTTGCTCTTGGAGCTCAACCTGAGCTGATGTCAATGTCGACATCCCTAACATGGAAGTGTGACAAAGGAAGGTAGCTGTTAGCAATGGGAGTTGGTGAGTATTGAATATGGGAAACGGTAGAGATTGAAAGATGGCAATGGGAGTTTATGAGTTGTTGGCATTACAAAGCTTCAAACAGGCAGCTGCCAATAATGACAAAATCATATTTATTTCTTCTTGGATTTTCCTTGCAAAACCTTTTTACCTTATGTATTTTCATATTTTAATATTCATTTTTTTTTTTGGGATTTTAATGATACAACTTTCACTCTATTTAGTGGACGCTATAAGCGTTAGTCTTACACTATTTCCATAGCCTCGCCTTGATGTATTTGAAAAAGAAGAGGAAGATAGAATAAGTGAATATAAAAACATGCATGATCGTGAGCATGATATTTAAATACATGTATGATCGTGGCCAATTATACTTGTAAGCATCCTGTCTAATTGAACAACTCCAAACTATACGGTTATGGTATTTGTGTGAGTTAGTCCTATAAGATAAAACGCTCTTAGAAGTTAGTTGGCAACTCTCTAGTGATGCTAGACTTATATGAACACAATGCTTCATGAAAAGCGTTTTTAATCACCAACTATGGTGTCTATGTGTTTCATTCTTGTAAGACCAAACACCGATCCACCCGTGAAATCCAGGTTTTTCTACGAGAAATGGGAAGAAATTACTATAGATACAACATTATTCTAAAAAAAAAAAAAAAGAATAATAATTTTTTTAAATGAAAAGGGCCACTCCATTTTTTGGGGCACTATATATTTTCCTTCTATTTTTACCTTAGTAAAAAAGTGCTTAATCGAAGTTGTTTTGATCAAAATTACATTTACCTTAGGCTTCAGGTATTGGAGTTACCATCCGGCCTCAAATTAGGTACATTATTCTACTAAATCAAAATAGAAACATTATTATTCGAAATATCGATTACATTCATGGAGGTCGTCTATGTGTTTTTCTCCCGCTCTTCAAACCATGATTCCTAACGAGGAAATCACGTGCTAAGACAACGATTTAATTTCGAGAAGAGCTCGGTGTCAATGGCAGTTTTGACTGAAAAATGGACAATTTTAGTTCAGCTGTCTGGTTGAATCTCCAGGCCAGTTCAATGGTTGATAGCAGCAGCTTCACCCGAGTACCACATCAGAGCAGAGCCCGTCAACGAGCCCCCCTGATACCCGGTCGTAACTAGCTCAGTCATCGTTTATCTGCATTCTTGTGCTCTCAATACCAGGCCGAGGCAGATATCAGGTTCCTGTTTTTCCATCCCAACAGCATTGCTCCATCTTTTTCGACGAGAGTGTAATGCTTCGAATAGCACCTGAGCAGGCTCCTGATGACGGAGTTGACGTAAGAGCTCAAAGGGAACTGGCAGAACCCTGCCATTGTCAATCTTGTTTTCCACTTGCCGAAGAGCTCGTGGCGTTCTTCTCGTTCCCTCCCCTCGCAAGCGATGACGTTAACGATATCTTTCGCCAAACAATGCTGCTCGATGTTGATACCCTTCTTGCTGTTCCTTGGTAGAGTGACATCAATGGACTCGAAGATTGCTAAGTAGTAATCCATAGTTTCCACAAACCTGTTGAAGAAAGGGGTTGTGTTGGTGTTGGATTCTTGCTCTACCAAAGTTACTACCCTTGGGGACAATGACTTCACCATTCTCAGCAAACCGTCCCGTGGATTGTTTACGTCGACGCTTTCGTCTGGGGTATGATGAAGTTGCAAGGGGAAGTTTACAGCCAGAGCCTCCCCGGGTCTGATATCAAGCATACCACGCGTGACGTCTGGAGCGAAAACGGGTAATCCATGAAACTCTACTGGTATTCCATACTTCCTCGAGACTTCAGCCAACCGCCTCTCAACGACCTCCAACCCCTCACCACGGGCATACTTAGAAACAGGGTCGTCGATACCAGTTATTCTCACATGGGGAGCACCACCGGGCCTTGCTGCAAGTGCCTGAAGAAGAGTTAACCACTGTGTACCCTGAGTAATCTGGAAGTCTATAATGTGGATGCGGTCTTCGTTTCTGCAGGCTTCGGCAATCGCCCCGTTAGCTGCCATGTAACCGAACTTCAAGTAAGGGCAGATTTCATATAGCATATGCATATAAGATAGCAAATCATCACTTGCAGGCTCTCTACAGTTTAGAGCACGGTATATATTTGCCCCCGACTCCTCTTTCCTTGCCACCAACCCTTCCACCATGTAAGCACCGAGACGCTGGATCGGTTCTCCGCTGATAGACACAGCACCTCTTGCTATGGCAACCAAGTTATCAAAATCCTCCATCCTATTTTCAGCTAAAGCTCTTGCACACTCAATCAGCAACTCCTTCAAATTATCATATGAAAATCCTCCCTGCTGCAATATCGATTCATCCATCGATTTTTGACGCTTCCCCAAGTGAACTGCTTGAGATCGCTGGCTTACCGACACCGGCAACGTCTGAGACTGTACAAGATTCAACCCGCCCTGTCGATCTTGGCTCCATGAGTAGGACCTCTGCCCCATAATCTGTGGCCTGCTACTATCTC